AAACTCTCTGTCTGGGGGGTGGGGGCTAATAATTCTGACTTCAACTGTATATAAAACATATACTGTATGTAACCATGTATGCCAGAAACATATATGTTAAGGTTTCAAAGCAGCCATCATCTTCCCATCTTAGACTCAAAAATATATTGTTGCTGCTTATTCAAACTACTTCTTTAAAATGAGCTGAAACAGCACAACTCTTGAAATGTTTATGCTTCAAATATATTTTTATGTTTTTTATTTAATTTAATTTAGAATATTTAGTGTGGGTGTTATGCATTAGCAGTCAAGACGTCGCAAATTTTCTTAAATAAAAAAACAAGACGTGGAATAAACTACTATGTACTAGCACTCTCAACATTAGGCTATTAAAATGTCAATTTAATCATGCCAAAACTTCCTACATCCCTACATTGACTACATCTGTGGTGTTTATGATGAATTGGGTGCAAGAACACAGCTTTAGATGTTCAAATAACTGCAGTACTAGGACTTTGCCACAGCAAAAAGTGTCTCCACTCAAAAAAAAGACGTTTGCTGTTTGTTCAAACTACTCATTTAAAATGAGCTGAAACAACACAGTGTTTTTGGACAGCTTGTTTTATGTTCAATCCACTTAAATTTGCTAAAACTAATAAGTTAACTTAACTCCTTCATTTTGTCCAAACACAAACCCATTGTGTGGACCCCAGCATTTCGTTACAGTGCTCAGACCTTTGGCATTAAGTCCTTTTACATGTTGAAGATGTTATTGTTTTTATAAATGTGAATGTTTGTTGTGGATTAAGATGTTAAATCTGAGCACGAGCACACTATAAATAAGGCCACAGGTGTTACTCCTTTTTTTAACCCTTTGAGGTTTGTTTGTTTGACATTTGTATTCAGTAAATTAGTAGATACTTAGTGCACGTTTTAAAAGACATTTTAACCACAAAGGAGCTGAATGTGACTATTTAACATTTTTTTTTAGGCTTTGTTTTTGACATTGTTGTTGTAGTCATGTTGAGGCGCCCTAGAGAACTTCTGGTTGCCAGAATGTTGCATATAGTTTGTGTTCAGGTCAGGGGTCTAAAACAAACAGCAATAAAACAACAAGGCTTGACTTAACAATGATCTTTTAAGCACTAAGAGTGACACCATGGCACAGCTTGACAGTTATATGATGCAACTGTATCCACCTGCTAACTACATCTCATATAAACACACATTTGGGCTCCATTTAGCGGGTGTTTCGGTTCTGGTTTATGAAGGTCTTTGCTGATTTTTATAGCTGTTTTACTGCGGTCTGTTTTCCAGCAGTGATTTTTCACAGCACAGCCGCTTGTTCTTCACGTCCAGCCTCATCCTGACTAATGACAGTAACGTATGACCTCACTTCAATGCGCTCATTTTTAAATTGAGCACTGACAACACGTTCAGTGGGGAAAAAAGACCCTTTCAGTTGTACATGATAAAGCAGCGCATGTTGGAGGACGTTAAAGGAACATCTGTAATGCCAAATGCTCACACCCAGCCCCTGGGTCCCGCTATGAGGGGGTCGCCGAACTGACCAAATCACTCTTCACGGATGGAAAAGAAAACCCCATAACACTCTGTGAGATGTTTTTATTTATGTATCACTGAACCAAACACAGGTCGGAGTTTTCTGCATGCAGGAATCACTTTTAAATAACATAAATAGACACATTTGTGTGGTGTGTATTTTTATCTACAGAGAAAAGTAGCTAAATCAGTATACTGAGTGTACTGATGTGTACTGTCGTGCATGTTATTAGAAGTACTGCACTAGTTTAAATTATTGTTTTAATGTTGTAATTACAATATAAAGCTGATGACGGATGAAGATCAGAGCAGTGCTGCTGTTCGCATTCACACAAACACACACACACACACACACACACACACACACACACACACACACACACACACACACACACACACACACACACACACACACACACACACACACACACACACACACACACACACACACACACACACACACACACACACACACACACACACACACACACACACACACAAACACAAACACAAACAAACAAATCAGTTTCAGTGCAACTAATCTACGCAGTCAGTCCTGTCAGGGCATTCAGCAGAGTTTGAGTTTGTTTCTTTTGCTTGATTTGCCCCAGCGGTTTGATGATTTTTTCCCTGAACTTCTGAAAAGACATTTGAGAATGTTTAAAAGCCAAACAGTTTCTCTGCATCTTTAGGAAAGCTTTGCAGAATGTTTTAGAGAAAGCAGTTCTTTTTTTTTTAGTTGTAACTATAAATAAATACGGTTCAAGTGACACAGGAGATTTAACATGTTTAAAGAAACGATAAGAAAGAGGAAAAAAGTTACTGAAGTTGTCCAACAGCTATAAATGATGAAAAGTCTGATCAGCTGTCTTGTTTTCTATAAATTCAGTTTTTATATATGAACTAAATATAGTAATAATTATAAGATTGCAAGAAATATGCTGTTAGACGATCACTGGGGCTAAGGTTATTGATCTCAGAAATAAATACATGCACATATTAAATTATTTTGGAATGTAACCTGTATAATAGGGTACTACTGTACTGTACTGTAGAAAACAGCAAAGACAAACACAGCAACGTTACATTAACATTAATAATACAGTTATTCATCTTAGGTCATTTGAACTTCAACTGATAACTGACATGCAAGACAACCCTAGTGATGTTTTTGTGAGACTGATTTGAATTGGTGTTAAAATATTGACACTGATAACAACCACTGTCTAGACCAATCAGGTAAATATTGCAGAGAGCCAAATCATACCATACACATCCACTTTTTCTGTTTCTGAAAGCATTTCCCATTCATTTTTCCCATGCAGACTTTTTAAAACAAAATATTAAAAATAATAGTTTAGTGTTTCTCAACCACCTTCCTGGCGGACCATCACCTCTGCACATTTTCCATGTCTCCTCAACCAAACACACCTGATTCATATCATCAGCTCATTAGTAGAGACTGAAGGACAAAGGAGACATCCAAAACATGCAGTGTTGGTGGTCCTCTACGAACGTGACTGAGAAACACTTGTAAACCAACCCCAAACAATGATGACGACACATAAATAAGTTTCCCAGAAGTGGGTTGCGGCTGGAAGTGCATTGGTTCAATTTTGTGTACTGGTTAACCAATTTCATGTACCGTTTCCACTACTGAACACTATTAATGCAACAACAGATTTGTCTTAAAAGGCACCTAGTTTACTCCTTTTTCAAGATCTAAGATAAGTCTTTTGTGTCTCCAGAATGTGTCTGTAAACTTTCAGCTCAAAACACACATCAGATGTTATACCTTTCGGAATATTGGAATATTCTGCTTTGAACAATATGTAGCTCTTTTTTGTTGCCTGTGCCTTTAATGCTAGTTCTCCCCGCCCACTGTTCCCACGTGCCTGTTACTGTACGTTCACGCCGAAAACGGAGCGAGCGTCAAAGTAGCCGGAAGATTGCGGTGATAAGCGTCAAGGGGCAGCATAGCATGTCTTCGGGGGAGTGGGCATCGAGGAGAGTTGAAATCAAGTCAACTGTAAGGAGGCAAGTTTGGCGGCAAGCAATCAGAATGTAAAAGTCCACCACTTGAGAGGAGTTCAGAAATAACAGCCCTGTGAACTTTGGTTCAGACCAAAGTTGTTTCCAAGGGTTTGATTATTGCAGCACTGGATTTGCAATGTTTTCTTACAGCAACTTACATTAAAAAAAGTTACTGGCGAGTTACTGATGTGCATTAATGTTTTATATATATATTTTTTTTTTTTTAAAGCGGGAATCTCATGTACAGTACAAAACAGTTTTGCTGCTTCAGAATATTTCAGACATTTAGAAACATTGGATAATTAAGTGGAGCAAAGCCACACCGCATGCAAATTGATCTTCCATTGTTAATTGAATTTGGTAAAAAGTGTGCAACATTTCACATTAAAAAGCATGTTTTATGCGGGAATGTAACATATGATATGCTGCATTGGCCCCTTTAAATACGAGATTAATGTGACAAATTTTGACAATCTCGCCGCCGGAGCTAAAGGTAAACAGCATTGTTGCCAAGGCAGTCAGAGCAACCTTTGATGCTCTAACTGCCTTCGATGTGAACGCACAGTTAGAGTGTGTCTCAATCTCCGCCTTGGCTGCGTCAGATAAACAGCACAGTGACAGACATAAAGAAAGCAAATCACACGTAACGTTTGTGAGAAATACTACAGGAAGAACTTTACCAATTTGATGTATTTGTTGTGGAGTTAATTCAAGCCTTTTGATGAGTCACACACAATGTCATTACAAAGGTCACACACACATACACACACACACCGCTGGCACTTAACTTTGCACTGTTTTTGCACGGCAAATGTGACGGGATCCATTTTAATATCCACTGCTGTATGGATATCCGTTATGTTTATGTACAAAATAAACCTGATTTAATGTCCACAAACCGCGATTGAAGCGTCTTCTTTTATAATTGTACTGAAATGCAACTTTAGTGATAAAGTAAAGACGGTAAAATTTTTGTTATTCATTACAAACATGCACTGTTTTAAAAACGATTTAAACTCGTAAAACTCTTTTTTGATCTCATTTGATGATGATGATTGATGATCACAGAAAGCTGAACAAATCTTTGCGCAAGTCCTGTTTTGTTGATATGATTACACGCGTTACTTCGGAGACATGTTAATACGGAGCTGTCAATCAAATCGGTGGGCGGAGAAACAGCAATCCTACGTCACTGCCTCAAAATAAAAGGGCTTTGGATCCTTTTTTAACATCAGGAAATGTTTAAAAAAAGAGACTTGCTATCTTTATATCATCCCAATATGACTGTGGACACACTATACTTGCACACAGTTCTGTCCAAACAGCTCCAAAAAGATGATTTACATCAAAGGTGCCCTTTAAAAGATTATTATAATCATTAATGTAAATAAAATATTTCATTCTGGAAAAAATGAATGTTTTTTACTTCCAGAACCTTTTGTATGAATGTATTCTGTAAAATTATTGTTGGTTGCTATTTCATGTTGGCTAATGCTGAAGTGAACCTTACTATAAAGTGTTACAAAAATTTTACATTAAAATAAACTCTGTACATAGTTGTGAAGCGCATGATGGCTAATTAAGAGCAAAATCCATTCTGCTGAAGTCTCAACAGTCGTCAAGCTTTGATTTAGTTACCAGAAAACAGTCTAATTAGTCTTAACTTTATTCCGTTATAGCTTAATATACTGGCAAGCTGAGTTTTGTTGAGCGCTGCCACATTTCTTTGCTGAGTAAAAGTCTCTGTGCATTATGCCCAGTTGTATCCCAGCCAGATGTATTTTAAATGAATGCATGTTTTTTGGCACCTGTTTTAGCAGTGGCGGCGGTCCAATCTACTAGTCCCATCCTGTCTGCCCTCATTTGTTCCAGTAAAAAGGTTTTGCAGCTGCTGAGTCTTAAAGTGAGACATTTAACATTAGCTATGGTCTACTGTGAGGCGATGCGGCTGGCTGTCTTGGTCACGGAGATAATTGGAGAGAGCGCTCAAGAATGTCCTAATTAAAACAAGGGGAAAAAATTGGACTGTTAGACACAAGCCTACAATATTTTACATCACCACAAACAAAAACAAAAACATGTATGTTAAAGTGTGTAAGAGCATCCATCCAGTTGTCCAAAGAAGTCCGTTTTCTTCACTGTGTTTTATTGTTGTGTGTGGACATCTCGTGGAGAGCGATGTCGGGATTCTCCTGTGCTCTTTTGGACTCTCGCTCTCCTCGCTGAGTCTTGCGCTTGCCGATATTTGTCCATCATGCTTTTGTGTTTGCGCCTCAGCTTCTCGTTGCACCAAACACGTTCGCAGTACTGCTCCACCTGCGGCAGGTTGGAAGGACCTATCAGCTGCAAGACGTCTTTAAACCACGCCCTTGCTGGGCCGCGATTCATCGTGGCGGAGTTGGCGGGACATGGCGACCACACTTTATATTTGCTGTCTCGTGATAGGAGGTCTGAAAGGGTGTCTGCATTTAAGACGTCCAACCAAAAGCGGGAAAGAGTTTGCGTAAATCCATGTTCACGAGATCGACACACGTAGATGCCTTCGTCCTGCCGCAACATGCGCCGGAATAATAAACCGTCATCTGTTTTAATGATGCGCTCATCAAACACCACCTGAACGAAAAGGAAAGGAGAAAAAGGCTGAAACTAAATCTCTTTCAGAATTTACCACATAACCACATGCAACACAATAATATTCTAATGCAACATAACTATGATCAAATCAATCAAAAACATCTAAAGCATAAAAATACCATAATATGTTTGCAGATATTTAACAAACATGCTAAGTAAACATTATTGTTTATCTGGGAAAAAATGCTGAAGTCAGATATTCTGAAGAACGCTGTCTTTGTTTTGGTCTTTTTAACCCACCCACTGCCAGTTTAGCCAATTATATTTCAGCACCTCAGGTTGTCTTGGTGAAAAACTGTGTATTTGATTCATTCAGTCAGGAAGACTCCCAAATGAGACGCAGATTCAGAGTTCCACATGAGGTTTTATTAATTTGCATGTAATATAAATATTATGAACGTAAACATTGGGTGAGCAGGTTACATTGTAACCCCCATGCCCTCACAACACGGCCTTGTTGTCTTGCACTGAATCACAGTTCTAAAGTTCAATTTTATTTTCACCAGGAGTGCAATACCTAGTTCAACCACTGGGTGTCAAACTTACATGCTGCACCTTTTAGCTAACCTGAAGAGCACCGAATAGTCAATAAAACGTATATAACCAAATTCATACCACTTTTTTGTTAACATATTTTAATGTTTCAACATTCACTTTTTTATTTTCAGGATATGATGTGAGTTATTAATTATTGCTTTTCTGTTAGGCTATGAAAGTCATGTGAAATTAACACACATTAATTTCATTCTATACAAATGAATTGAAAGTGATCTGGTTGTCAGGTATTTGTGCATGCCTAGACTGAACACATAATAAATGTGCACAATGTCACCCTTTTCAGACAATCAGATTTGTGTAGTTTAAACAAAGATGATGACAATAGTATTTCTAAAAAGTTTAAAAGTTTGACTTTTTCATTTTCCCCAAACACAACTAGCTAAATAAGCAGTAAATAATAAATCAAAATGCATAAATTTGTTTCTTGTTTCAGAGATGCATGAAGACTGTGGTGTAAAAAACAAAAAGTACTTAATAAAAACATAAAGAACCATTGAGATCCCCGGCATGAAAATATCTACAAACCCCTCATTGAATGCAATGACACTGAAATATGTCATGATATTTTCAGTGTCATTTTAAATATTAAATGTCATTTTGTTGTATTGTACAGTATAGCAGGTTGCACACCAGAAGTGCCGCTCGGCGCCGCGACACGGCGCGCACATGACAGTTTAAAGTATCACACACCAGGCGCGCACCTTCGAATGATATTTAACATGAAACTAATCAGATGGCGCTCTGTGGCGCGGCTGAAAAATGAACTGCGTCCTGAGCCGTGGCCGGGCGCCGCCGACAGCCGCCGACTTGCGGCGCCGGTGTGTGTATCCTGATAGAAACCTATGTTTAGAATTCTAAATGCATGGCGCTGCGCGGCGTGCTGCCGAGCGGCGCTTCTGGTGTGGGACCTGCTTTAGTCTCTCACCTCCCCTAAGTAGTCATCTCTCTGAATGTGCCATGTGACAGTGGCCTGCGGCGACCGAGGGACGCACTCCAGGAAGGTGCTGTTGTTCTCAGTGCCGTAAACAACACGTTCTTCACTCACATCCACATCCTCCACTGAACAGAGAAACACATCACTCTTAATACAGACTCTTTAAACTGCCTTGTTGTGTTATTTTACCTTTTTCTACAATAGGTTAACATCGGGGGTGTAAAAATCTGAAGTGATTTGTTTGAGATGTGAAACTCCTCCTTTCTGAGATCCTGGTTTGCTTTGATTGGTCATATGATAATCTCTTGAGATTGGTCTACTGCTGACAATATGTATTTGAAACAAAATGGCCATTACTTTATCTGGTCTGGAGGCTTCCTTAGCTCAGCCCTCATAAATACTGTATATACAGTAGAAATAACTGAGAGAGGATTTACCTGCATACATTTAAGCTTTTCCAATGGTGAAACACTGGAAAAACTAGTGGATCATCCAGAATCTCCATCACAAACACAACAAAAGTAGAATGTTGCCACTCAAAAAAGTTTTGTGGTTCGTCATAGCCTACTTTAGCTGAATAATAGGTGTGTGTGTGTGTGTGTGTGTGTGTGTGTGTACAACATGTTTAAGCGAAGACTTGCATATGTGATAATTTTAGGGGTTTCCATGTTTGCAATTGGAATTTCTGATGACTTGATTCAGTGGTTCAGAGTTTAATTTGCGTGTGTGTGTGTGTGTGTTTAAAACAGTCTGTATTTATTATACACTTTAATCTTTAAAACTTAGAACCTTTACATTCACAATCACATTTCAATACACACTGCACTATATGCATTTAATGTAATTTTAAAAAAAGCTTTAAAGTGACACTTCAGCAGTCACACAACGTGGTTCAGTGAAGGGTCATTCAGGGATTTTCCACTGCGTATGCGTTTGTATGTGTTCACACATACATATGTAATCCCTTTTCATCACCAACATCCTCACCTTTGGCATGCAAACACTCATGTGCTCTTCACTCACACCTCTTTTGTTCTTTCCTCTCATTCTCTCTCTCCTCTGTGATGAGCGATGGAGAGTGATCTGCCTGTTCACCTCTCACTCTATCAGTTCCTGTCTTTCACAGACAGTTTGTCCCAGCAGAGTTAGGAGATTGCCCTTCAAACCCTATTAATCTTTCTATTAGACAAGCTCAAAAGTGTATTGAAGTTTCTAACTCCACTGATTGAACAAATCTCTGAAGAAATTGCACTCTCACATCAGTGAGCTCTTTAACATATAAACCCAATTGAAGTTGTCAGAGGAACCTGCTGCTACATTAACATTCATGCTGCATGGCTGCGCTCAGTTAAGGAGGCTGTCATTTCTTACCGCTGAGGTTTTGGTCCATGCACTGCACTGCTGGGTTTGCATGTTTGATGTCCTGTCTGCGGTAGCGCCGTTTGGTGTTTGGCAGGTATCGTGTGCAGGTTTGTCCGTCCCAGGCGCAGTACGGATCTCGAGCCAAACAGCACTCGGCACAAGCTTTACCGTACATACTGCAGCGGTGCAGCGGCACCTGGACAACAGCTGTCTGTGATCCAACAAACAGAGTTTGCTGGAAGAGAAAGAGAAAAATAACTGTTTCAGTTTCATTCTCCTACAGTTCCCTTGAGTAAAACAGAGATAGTTCTGCCAATAAACTACATTAGGCCAACAATTACTCAGACATCAATCATTCCAAACTCATATCACTTTCTTTTTCTGTGAAAACGAAGAGAAGATGTTTAAAAGAATATTTGGGCTGTACTTTTTTTCATTTATTTAAAATGAATGAGGGATACTTCTGTCATTTAAGGATTAAAAAAGTGGGAAAGTCTCCACATTGGGATCAGGGGGAGGCTAAGCCAGCCTCTCTCAGATCACCGGGGCTCTGCGATGGTTGCGGAAATTCCTAATTGAACTAGGGCTGGGCGATATGGCAAAAATTTTGATAATTATTTTCCATATTGAACAATGACGATATATATTTCGATATAAGTTGTTAATGCTGTCAGATTTAAAAGAGTACCCCAACAATGACTGAAGCTATAAAAATGAGAGGATCCATTAAATGACACTACATATTTTCGGACGATAAATCTACGGTGGCTGAAAATTCAGTACATCTCTAATATCAACACACTTCTAGATTCTTATTGTTGCACATTTCTGCTGTGTGATTGGATCAATATAGAGTAAAAAAGTCTAGCATAAATTTTATCACGATTCAATGTTGTTTATCGGCCCAGTCCTAAATTGAACCCCAAAAAACAAATGATTTCAATTGTCTTAAGATTGGCAATGGAAATTCTGAAAATCTCTTCAACCAGCAGAGCCGTGCAAATTTAAATCAAATCTCCACAGTTGCATTCTGTTAGCGCAGATCTCCAAAATGTGCAAAAGATTGCTATTGTGAAATTTAATTGTTTAAAAATTGACAGTTGACATTGATATTTGTCCTGCACCTCCTCTAATGTGATTGGATGGTTTATTAAAAAGTGACAGTGACGAGAGCTGCATCTTACCAAAGACTCTAATCTTTGGTTTCTAGACACAAGACATGTCACTCGTGTAGTTTTGAAACGGCAAAAGTGTAACGATTAATATGGTGAATGAAGCCCCACCTTCTAGTACAGGAGCCAAATAATCGTGATAGACTGATGATTCTCCAGGGGAGAAGCTTGGATCAGACGTGAGTTTCTTCAGATTTTGAGATTCGAACATTTAGAAATGAAACTAAAGAGACAGTTGTTGTTTAGTTTTATAGGTGATTCAGAGTTCCACATAAGGTGTTCTTAATTGGTGAAATTTAATTGGAAGCTTGGCAAGCAATTTTAGAGAATATGATGTTTTCCCATTCAAACAAAATGGCCGAGCATACTGCTCGAAGATGGCTGAGTGAAATGGCTTGTCTTAAAGGGTCTTTGATCTTTAAGAAAGTTTTACATTTATAAATTTGGCCAAACACCCAGCAGTCAGATTTAAAAACATTATAAAACTGAAATAATATGCTAGCCTCAAGGGGGAAATTACACTACCAAAATATTTTGTGTGTGTAAATCTCTTTTCACAGTGAAAGTAAAATAATCATATGAGTTTGGAATGATTTAACAGTAAGTAAACAATAACAGAAATGCATTTTTGGGTAAACTGTTTCTTTAACTCCTGTGCCTCCAGGGATGTCTATGAAGTAAGTGAACTGTCAGACGCTCTGGATGTAAAGCACCTGCTTCATGATGAAAAACTAAGCAACTGGTTGTTTTGCATGAATGTTTTATTGCTTTGGAGCCAAAAAGCATATACACCCACAAAGTGGAGTCCCATTTCTCCTCACACAGTAAAGCCTCTTTGGAAATTTGTGGAAAATGATTTTATGGTGCTGCTTATGCTACTATACGTGCGTTCATTCAATGGAAGAGTACAGTGAGAGTGAACGATGCATGAACTTACCCTCTTCACAGATATGTCCATGGAGGTTATAGGAGTGGGCACCTGCAGTGAAAACATCATGAGAAACAGAAGTATTGTACATGAAGTCTGCTGTTGCTGTTCTGATTGCGAATGTCCATTTCATACTTTCAAAATGATCACATTATCCCCATGACATCACGATTTACACAAAATTGTGTTTTTGAAGTTTACAAGCTAAAAATAATTGTACTTTCAATAATTGGACTTTGAAACATGTTTTCAAAAGTTAAAATGCAGTCGTTGTGTACAAAGGTGGGTAGTGTTAGTTATAGCTAGATGTTATATAGTTGTAGATATGTCCATACTACAATGTGTAGATAAAGTACTTTTGTATGTGTAACTTGATGCACCTTTGACTATAAATGCACATCTCATTACACACACTAAAAACTCACAGACATGTGCACCCACGAACCTTGAACACCTGCATTTCCTCCAATGTAATCTCCTCACCGGCCAGAGAGTTACCTTTTCCAAGTACGATGACCTTAAGCACCGTCCCAATATCTGAAGAGGTCAAAAGTCACAGTTACCCATTATCATTCATCCAGTTTCAAAAATTCACTAGTCGAATTGTAATAAACTATATATATATATATATATATATATATATATATATATATATATATATATATATATATATATATATATATATATATATGTCATATGCCATGGTGACAGTAAATAATATTTGACTAGATATTTTTCAAGACACTTCTATACAGCTTAAAGTGACATTTAAAGGCTTATCTAGGTTAATTAGGGTAACTAGGCAGGTTAGGGTAATTAGGCAAGTTACTGTATATAATGGTTTGATCTGTAGACTACCAAAAACAAAATTTCAAGTGTCTTGAAAAATATCTAGTCAAATATTATTTATTGTCACCATGGCAAAGATAAAATAAATCAGTTACAAGAAATTAGTTATTAAAACTATTATATTTAGAAATGTGTTAAAGAAATCTTCTTTCCATTAAAGAGAAAATTGGGAAAAAAATAAACAGGGGGGCTAATAATTCAACCATATATATATATATATATATATATATATATATATATATATATATATATACAGTTGAAGTCAGAATTATTAGCCCCCCTGAATTATTAGCACCGCTGTTTATTTTTTCCCCAATTTCTGTTTAACGAAGAGAAGATTATTTCAACACTTCTAAACATAATAGTTTTAATTACTCATTTCTAATAACTGATTTCTTTTATATTTGTCATGATGACAGTAACTAATATTTTACTAGATATTTTTCAAGACACTTCTATACAGATTAAAGTGACATTAAAAGGCTTAACTAGGTTAATTAGGGTAACTATGCAGGTTAGGATAATTAGGCAAGTTATTGTATAATGATGGTTTGTTCTGTAGACTATTAGGAAAAAATATAGCTTAAAGGGGCTAATAATTTTGTCCTTAAAATGGCTTTTAAAAAATTATTAACTGCTTTTATTCTAGCAAAAATAAAAACAAATAATATTTGTTTTCAGAAGAAAAAATATTATCCGACATACTGTGAAAATTTCCTTGTGCTGTTAAACATAATTTGGGAAATATTTAAAAAAAAAAAAAAAAAAAAAAATGAAAGGGGGGCTTATAATTCTGACTTCAACTGTATATACCAGAGGTGTGGACTCGAGTCATGTGACTTGGACTCGAGTCAGACTCGAGTCATGAATTTGATGACTTCAGACTCGACTTGACAAAATATGAAAAGACTTGCAACTCGACTTGGACTTGAACATAAATGACTCGGACTTTCACTTGGACTTGCGCCTATTGACTTGTAAAGACTTGCTACTTTCTATAAAAAGCCCAAAGATAAAAAGTATGTTGACACGGAGCGCTCTATCTCTCTGTGTGTGTGTGTGAGACAGAAAGCATGCGCGCATACTTTCGACCACTAGCGCTTTGTGGCGCACTTCCGTGTTTTTGCACCAGCGGGAAATTTGAAGATGCCATATTCATTCTGACTCGGAGAGTGAAATAAACACATCCGCGATCTACTCCTTTTGTTTTATTCAGCGGATTTACAACATCTGTCAAAGGTAAGATACTTAACTACTCGCAATGTGTTACTGTTGTGCAAAAGCATTGTTTTACTGTTGTGCATAAGTCAATGAACTTCAGTTTTTTTAACCAAACTTACCCTCTCGTCATTTATTTCACATAATTATGAATGAACATGGCTGTAATTTATGTTTTTGCACTTGGTCGTTTGTGTCAATGCGCATATTATGTTTTATTTTTGTGTATTGCCCATCCTCTGACAGTATTTTCTAACTATTTAATTAGTAGTAATAATAATTACATGCCATAATAACTAGATATATATAATTTATTTTTAAAGCTCTTAAAACTGTGAAAAAAGTGTTTTGTTATTTTTTGGTAACATTTTGCAATAAGGTTTTTTTTAGTTAATCTATGTACTAACATAAACTAATAATGAACTATACTTTTAAACCTTTATTAATTATAGTTTAACATTTACTATTGCATAATTACAATTTAAAGGTATGCTTGTTAACATTAATGTTAATGCACTGTGATTTAACAAAGGTTAACCAATAATTTTATTTCCATTAATTAATGAATACTGTAATGATTTGTAACTGTACTTCACTGCATTGTTTGTTCACATTAGTACATAGATAAACTTAATTAATTAATACAACCTTATTGTAAAGTGTTACCTTTTTCATATTTTGGATTGATACTATTAATTTTATTTAGTATTTAAAACCTTAAAAGTATTTGTATTATTGTTGATGTTATGCCTCTTAGCAATATTTTATTCCTCTATATGGTTTTTAATTAATTTTTTATTGCGAGATTGTAATGTAATGCATCTATATTGTTGAATTTCTGTTTGTTTGTTTTTCTGTATTTCCCCCTCTATATTTAAGGCTTATCTACTATTTTTAAGGTACTTAAAACCAACCATCTAATAAAAAATACAATTGACAATCACATTTCGTTTCATGAGTGTCTTTGTTCCTGTTTTGTAGGACTCTTATTTTAACAGATTTCATTGGAAAACACTTGACTGATCATTCAATTAAAGTTTTACCTTTATTATTCCATCACTCAATGAGATCATTTAATTGTGAGTTGAATTACTCCATTTGTAATTGTTTTTAAATAAACTAAAAACGAAGACTTGTTTTATTCAGTTTGTTGAATTTGAACTCTACTTTACATATTAAAATATATTTAAAACCACTATGAATGTATTTAAACTAATATTTAAATTTATATAACTGTTTCACTGTGGGTATTTCTATTTTAATTTATTTAGCACATTTATTGCCTATTCAAACATGAAAACAAGTTTTAGATAATTTGTGGCTCTAATAAATTGTTAAACATTACAATATCCTTGCAGAAAAATCCAGCTTAAACCAGCCTAGGCTGGTAAGCTGGCTTTAGCTGGTCGACCAGGCTGGTTTTAGAGGGGTTTTGGTAATTTCTAGGCTGGTTTCCAGCCATTTCCAGCCTGGTCTTAGCTGGTCAGGCTGGAAACTGAACTGAGCTAAACTGAACTGAACTGAACTTAAACACTAAAACCTGAACCACACTGTTCCAGTTACTGAACCACACTGTTCCAGTTACTATTTATCAGTGACCATTTATGTGAAGCTGCTTTGACACAATCTACATTGTAAAAGCGCTATACAAATAAAGCTGAATTGAATTGAATTGACCAGCAAAATCCAGCTAAAACCAGCTTGACCAGCCTGGTTTAAGCTGGACATAGCTGGTTTTGGCTGGGCTCCCAGCCTGGCTATAGGCTGGTCAAGCTGGTTTTAGCTGGTCATCTCCCAGCCTGCCCAGATAAGACTAGGCTGAAAATGGCTGGAAACCAGCCTGGAAATGACCAAAACCCCTCTAAAACCAGCCTGGTCGACCAGCTAAAACCAGCCTAGGCTGGTTCAAGCTGTTTTTTTCAGTAGGGATTTTTGACAAAATGGTCTAAAATGATAGTTTACAAGTGCCTAAGTGGGATTTGAACCCCGTTCTTTATGAAAAGAAAGAAAAATCTGATTGGCTCTGACATTACTTTCACCAGTGGGCAGGTACTTCAATCTGATTGGCTGGTCTCTCGTGCACGTATTCAGTCTCAGTGCGTTTGCTTGACTTTTGTCCACACTGGCGCCTCAAACCTTTCCTGCTTTTGCTCTCCAGAGATCCTCCTGGTAAATTGATTATTCCAGAATGTTAATATGGTTTATATATTGCTACACTATTTAGTAACAATACATTAAAAACTATGAGGTTAAGGTAAATTCTATAATAAATGCTAGTGTTTTTGAGAATAAGGTATACTGCCTATGTTTAAGCCTAGTATTATTTACAAGTTGTTAATGAATGCTTCAGCATACTTTAGTATTAAGAATAGTGAACTGATAAAATAAAATACAGAGTGTAGTTTTTCTACAGTAAAGTGTGGTGAATTGTAGTATAATATACCCTATATTGTAAAAAACTACAGCACTGGGTAATTTGTTTATATTACACTTGTGTTACCAAAGCAACTATAATATGACCCCAACAAATTAATTAAAGTACTTTACTATAGTACTGTTCAAAACACTGTCCATGCCAATAGATGTGTTCAGGGGCCCTGTGGAACAGCTTTTCCTCAAAATGAAGAGGATGACATGGAAAATGTCCTCCACAATCTCATAAATAATGTGGAAGACAGCAGAGACTAGTTCACTTTATTTTAGTTGCCATGATAAAATGGGATTGATAGTGAGATTTATTTAAAGAGTGAATAGTACAGTAGGCTATAATGCCAAATCAAGTTTTTCCTTATTTTTATCACAGTTACATTTCTGCTTGCATTAGTTATATTTTTGTTTAAATGTTTTTTTTTATTTGATTAGTATGGTACACCTTTCGGATGATTAATAAATGTTTGTAAAACAAAATACATTCTGTACATCCAACATCTATTCTCTGTGTCTTTAAGTGTTTGTAACTGGAAATATCTCATCATAAAACATACAGCCAAAATTTTATGGTTTATTAGATTAAAAATTTAATATGTAAGTCTATTTTAGTATTTTGGTTTTTGTTAATAAATAGTCCCTCAATATAAATCATATAAAAAAGCACGAAAGGAAGAGGAAACACAAGACTCAAAATCTGTATATAATCTCTGAGAGCACGCAGGAAAATGTGTGCGTGAGCACTGCATATTTGAGAGCGAGAAAATTTGCGCGTGAGCAGCGTATATTTCAGAGCTCGCAAGCAGTTTTGTCCACAGAGGAAATCGGTGCACGAGCGTCACACAAGGTAGAGAGCAAAGTTCTTCATTGTTATGTGAAAAAAACAACGTTAATGTTTGTATAAAGTAGCCAACTTCATTTAGAATATGTGCCACAATTTTACATTGCATTTTATGTAGTTTTAGTTAATCACAAGTTGATCACAGAAGACATAACATAGCACAACTAAACTTAATGAACTAGACAGCAGTAGACCTGCAATTTCTGTGTGATGTGAGGCAAAATGGACTCTATTGTAGTGGAACTCGTTCTTGTGCAATGTGCTGTTTAGACAAGATGCAGCACTGTTTAGCACTTTTTCAGAAAATTACATTTGTGTTTTTATATATCTTCTATATGTTCTTTCATAAAAAAAGGTTTGTTTAATAAATACAGATCTTACAACCATACATAATCTGTTTACAGTTCATTTTTCTGTTAAAAAGACTCGAAAAGACTCGAAAATCAAACTATAGGACTTTGGACTTGACTTGAGACTTGTTGCCTTTGACTTGGGACTTGACTCGGGACTTGCCTGTCTTGACTCGGGACTTGACTCGGGACTTGAGGGCAATGAATTGAGACTTACTTGTGACTTGCCAAACAATGACTTGGTCCCACCTCTGGTATATACTGCATTGTATAGACAGGCATAGGCGTTTGAGTTCTGAATGAGCTCAACACAGTAAAAAACTCTATTTTCAAGTACATTTTTTGTTTCCTTGAATTATTAAATTAATAAAACTGACACTTTTCTAATTAAATGCCATTAAATTGAAATATATTTTAAGACCTACAGGCTAATTCACATATTTCACGATCTGAACCATAATAAGAAATACGAAATACTTTTTAATACAAGCCAACACATGATGTTTCTATATCTTTCTCAGTGACAGTTAAAATGAGTACATTCTGTAAGTGGTTCTGTCACCGTGATAAATTCTTACTGTCCAAGACTGTATGGTATAGTTAATGCCACACGCACTGTAATGTGTTTTATATTGGTAGTTAAATAGCGAAATGTACGATCAAACAACTGTGATGATGAGGTGAGCGCCGACATTGGGTTTTGAAAGAATTACTAGTTGCATTACAAGTGAGATCAGTTTAAAGTTTTGTACTAAGAGTTTTGAAAATGTATCTTACTTATAAAAATAGTACCAAACATGGTAACCCATGACATCACATAGATTCTTCTTGATTCTTACCAGTGCCAATAAACATGACATCGTAGTATCCGTCCTCTGCCTGTGTTCTGTCTACAGTGATGTGTGTGAGCCTATAGGGGGCGCCGGTGCGGAGCAGCAGTGGTTGGCGATGTGAGGGGTAAACAGGGCGCCACATTAGAGGGTGCGTTCGTGCAAATTGTAAAACGGTGTCTGGAAACTCCAGTGTGCTCCGGAAGGCACGGCCCGGTTGAGCGGTGATCTTACTGGGACACACTCCTGGTCGTGGATATGGGACTCGGCCTTCATAGGGGCCCCACTGATAGTCCGGTCCTTCTTTATGAGCAAATGGCCCATTAAACGCTTCACGGATGTCAGCCATGCTGTATACACACACTGCATAGCCCTGAAACACATTACTGGAGAGAGAAAATATTCAGTTAAACTCATTGTTGCCTGATTTAGATTTTTTTTTTTTTTTACTTTAAAATGTTGTTTAATTAGGTGTTCTTTTTCTAAAAAGTTTTTATAAAAAATTTTGCTTCAGTTTTAATTATTACATTTATTATTGCAATTGCATTTTCTTGCTAAACTTGTTTTTTTACATATATATAATTCTAATATATATAATTCTTATATATATATATATATATATATATATATATATATATATATATATATATATATATATATATATATATATATATATATATATATATATATATATGTTTTTTTTTTTTTTTTAAATGACAAAGTAAAATGATAAAGTGCTTTAAAATGACAAATTGAAAGGGAAAAAATAAATATAATTTCGAAATAATATTAAACAACCTTTTGAATAACTTACACTAATAGGAAAAGAAAATGGCATGTATAAGGAAAACAAAAAAATGAATGGATTCAAACAAGAAAAAGTAAATGTGAAGATAAATAAAAGATTATTCTAAATGTTACCAAAATAAAAAATGTTTTACAAAGACAGAATTAAGTCAATATGATTTAAAGTACAAAGCTGTACAGATGAAATACACAGACAAACATTTTTCAGTCTAGTTCTGCTACAGACCTAATTGTGCTGAATATTGCGTAGATCTCTGGATTGGTTTCATCTTTTGTTCTTAATAGAAACACATCCTCTGCATGACAAACACATACAATCAAATTTCTCAAAAGCAATGCAAGAGATTAAAATGATGTCAGGTCTATTTAGTAATGCATACAAATTGCAGACGGTATGTGTGTGTTTCTGGTCTCACCTAGCTGATGAAAGTGTGTTTGGATGCCGTGAGGTCCAGGAACTGAACACACCAGTCGGGCTTTAATAAATGTGCTCCACTTATTCACCAAAACCCTCTGTCCGCCCGCATCATTCTGAAAGCACAAAAACAGTAAGTCATTTCACTTCTGAACTTAACAGATTAGCAAATCCCAGAATCATATACTCCAAAGACCACTGTGTGTAAATCAAACCATGCCTGCATCTCAGTCTATATTCTACCCATCCTATTTCTGAAATAATTCAGATTTTGGGGCTACACTTCGGTTTTAAGTGTATAGTGCATGCAACACAAATTTCATTATGAAGAAGATCATGCATAAACTCAATGCCCACAGCCTACTTTGAATTATTGTTGCACTACTTATTTTGTCCACAAGTGATACAATAGTGAACAGGTCATTGTTTAGAGTTGAAAAACAAGACTATATGAACCCTTAAACATTTACCTTGGGCTTTTATTGACATTTATATTGTCATTTAGCAGACGCTTTTATCCAAAGCGACTTACAAATGAGGACAAGGAAGCAATTTACACAACTATAAGAGCAACAATGAATAAGTGTTGTAGGCAAGTTTTAGGTATGTAAAGTGTAAGAAGCAGAACATTAGTTTTTTTTTTTTTTTTTTTTGTAATACAGTTATCGGTGGAGCCAGAGGGGCAATTGCAGATTAGGAAGGAAAGTGGAGACTAAATAGTCGTTTCTTGAAGACAGCGAGTGACTGCCATTCTGATGCAGTTAGGGAGTTCATTCTACCAACTGGGCAGATTGAATGCGACAAAATAAATGAGCCCATCTGCCTTAAGGTTGGATGTGTTGTGCGGTACAGATGCTTCTCTCCATATTTCTCCATATTTAAGTTACTGTTGTCTTTTTTATTTGACCAGGGACATCTTTCACTACCCTACCCATCATTTATTTTAGTTAGGCATCAAATTCTTAGTATTCTTGAATGTATTCATTATAAATAATATAACACAAATAACACACAAGTGTAAAAACTTTACCGGGTCTCTGGTGACCCAACATATTTTCCTTTCTGCTCAACAACTAAATATACATGTAGATTATAGATTTTAAAGACAATGGTAACGATAATTTTGAAAATATGGTTGAGATCACAAATATTAACCATACACTTAATTTAATATTCACTCACCGGCCACTTTATTAAGTACACCTTACTAGTATCTGGTTAAACCCCTTTTGCCTTCAGAATTGAACCAGAATTTTGCCTTCGTGGCAAAGATTTACCAAAGTACTGGAAATAATCTTCAGAGATCGAATCTCCCTTTCCACCACATTCCATAGGTGCTCTATTGGACTGGGATATGTTGCTTGTGGAGGCCATTTGAGTACAGTAAACTCATTGTCATGTTCAAGAAACCAGTCCGAGATGATTGGTGCTTTATGATATGACGGGTTATCCTGCTGGAAGTAGTCATCAGATTATGGGTACACTTTGGTCTAAAAGGGATGGACATGGTCAGCAACAATACTCAGGTAGGCTGTGGCATTGACACAATGCTTAATCAATACTTATGTGCCAAGAAAATATCCCCCACACCATTACACCACCATCACCAGCCTAAACCATGAATGGATCCATGCTTTCATGTTGTTGACTCCAAATTCTGACCCTACCATCCGAATGTCACAGCCGAAATCAAGACTCGTCAGCTCAACGTTTTTCCAGTCTTCTATTATCCAATTTTGGTGAGCCTGTGCAAACTGTAGCCTCAGTTTCTTGTTCTTAGCTGACAGGAGTGGCACCTAGTGCGATCTTCTGCTGCTGTCGCCCATCTGCCTTAAGGTTGGATGTGTTGTGCGTTAGAGATGCTTCTCTCCATATGTCCATATTTCTCCATATTTGAGTTACTGCTGTCTTTCTATCAGCTGAAACCAGCCTGGTCATTCTCCTCCGATCTCTGGCATCAACAAGACATTTGCGCCCACAGAACTGCCGCTCACTGGATACTTTCCCTTTTTCAGCCTATTCTCTGTAAACCCTAGAGATGGTTGTGCGTAAAAATCCCAGTAGATCAGCAGTTTCTGAAATACTCACACCAGCCCCTCTGGCACCAACAAACATGGCACATTCAAAGTCACTTAAATCACCTTGGATACCCATTCTGATGCTCAGTTTGAACTGCAGCAGATCGTCTTGACCATGTCTTCATGGCTAAATGCACTGAGTAGCAGCCATGTGATTGGCTGGTTAAAAATTTGCGTTAACAAGCAGTTGGACAGGTGTACCTAAAAAAGTGGCCAGCGAGTGTACATGATAAGTGTGCTTTGACGATGATAATGATGGAGATCCATCTGTTTACACTGAACCCTCCAAGTTCCAAAAGGTAAAAATAATCTCTGTTTTTATTATTATATTTTGTCATTCAAAAACTCAGGATAGTTTAATGTGCAACATCATTGTAGAGTACAAACTGTATAACCAGGTCACTAAAGACATGAATACGTAATATTGACTGTGAACATATTTATGAATTTAAAGTTTAAACGTACAAACATATTTTATGGCTTTTACATCTTTCCATGTCATTATACAATGTGTTAAAAACTGAAAGATACTTTAAACTTAAATTATATGTAAGACAAGAAAATATACAAAAGATTCTAGACTGCATACATTTTTCAGCTAATATTCGCAATAATCCTTTATGGAAAAAAAGTGTTTATGGAAGTTTCCATTCAACTTTGTCAGCTGAAGAAGTTAATTACTTGGGTCACACCCTCCAAACCTCTGTAACCTGAACCTTGTTTATGAATAAACATCAAGCTGTAACTGTTCCCGTGGGAAAGAGAATGGTTCAATTCCACAAAATATCTCAGAGCAGTTTGATATGGAGATCACGGCACTGTGAGGGAAGAATTGTTATAGATTCTTAGAAGCAAAGCAGCTGGGTTTACCGTGTCGAAGATGCTGTGTAATCTGTGTATGTGGAGGTAATCACCCTCTCTACAGTGTAAATGTGTGTGTGTGTGGGGGAGAGAGAGATTTGAGAATGTGCTGGAGTTGAACAATGAACAGCAGTCAAAGTGACAGTAATGTGCGATTGACCTCAGCTCTTTGAACACTGACCTCTGAATGACAGAGAGAAATCTGTACTGCTTGCCTTACTCTACAGACCCTTGTGTGTTCAGGGGTAATCGCTGTGTGTATGTGTGTGTGTGCTCCAGTGGCATGCAAACCATTCAACAGCTGTGCGAATGGGGTTATAAAAAAGCAGGAGCATTCCAGTATACTGGTTGATTTGTGGCTGGATGTATGTATGTGGCGTTTGTTGTGTTTTTTCTCACCGCACACAATCGCCCGATGCGTGTGTGTATGGCTCCATCATCGTCTCGCTCTGCGGTTTCTGTTGCTCTCTCAGTGAAGAAGAAATAAATTTTATCATCATCCCTGTCTGCACTGTCAGGAATGAGGTGCGCCGCAACAAATCTGGGCTCTGCACACACACATGTATAGACACATGAACTTTTATAATGCTTATCTGACAGTTTGCAGTATAGACTATGGAAATCAATTAAATTGATACACAAGGACAATGTCAAACAACAATTGGAATGTAAAAATTATTAAACACATTTTGATTCCATTCAATTCGTTTTACCTTATGATTTGTTAAAAATAAAAAACCTGAAAAATCACATGTACATAAGTATTCACAGCCTTTGCCAAGAAGCTCTAAATTGAGCTCAGGTACATTCTGTTTCCACTGATCATTCTTGAAATGTTTCAGCAGCTTAATTGGCATTCACCTTTGTTAAATTCAGTTGATTAGACATGATTTAAAAAGGCATAAACATGTCTATATAAGGTCCCAGGGTTGAGAGTGCATGTCAAAGCACAAACCAAGCATGAAGACAAAGGAATTGTCTGTTGACCTCCGAGACAGGATTTTCTCAAGGCACAAGGCTGGAAAAGGTTACAGAAAAATTTCTGCTGCTCTGAAAGTTCCAGTGAGCCCAGTGGCCTCCATCATTCGTAAGTGGAAGATGTTTGGAACCACCAAGACTCTTCCTAGAGCTGGCCGGTTATCTAAGCTGCGTGATAGAGTGAGAAGGGCCTTAGTCAGGGAGGTGATCAATAACCGGGTGGTCTCTCTGTCTGAGCTCCAACGTTCTTCTGTGGAGAGAGGAGAACCTTAGCGAAGGATAACCGTCTGTGCAGCAATCCACCAATCAGGCCTGTATGGTAGAGTGGCAAGACGGAAGCCACTCCTCAGTAAAGGCCACAAAGCAGCCCGCTTGGAATTTGCCAAAAGGCATCTGAAGGACTCTCAGACCATAAGAAAACAAAATTCTTTGGTCTGATGGAGTAAATGCCAGGCATTACATTTGGAGAAAACAAGGCACGGCTCATCACCAGGCTAAGACCATCCCTACAGTGAAGCATGGTGGTGGCAGCATCATGCTGTGGGAATGTTTTTCAGGATAGAGGGAAAGATGAATGCAGCAATGTACAGAGACATCCTGAATAAAAACCTGCTTCAGAATGATCTTGACTTCAGACTGGGGATACGGTTCATCTTCCAGCAGGACAATGACCCAAAGCACACCATTAAAATATCAATGGAGTGGTCTCACAGCAACTCTGTGAATATAATTGAGTGGCCCAGCCAGAGCCCAGACCTAAATCCTATTGAACATCTCTGGAGAGATCTGAAAATGGCTGTACAGTGGCGCAGTAGGTAGGTAGTGCTGTCGCCTCACAGCAAGAAGTTCGCTGGGTCGCCGGTTCGAATCTCGGCTCAGTTGGCGTTTCTGTGTGGAGTTGGCATGTTCTCCCGGTGTTTGCGTGGGTTTTCTCTGGGTGCTCCGGTTCCCCCCACAGTCCAAAAATATGTGGTACAGGTGGATTGGGTAAGCTAAATTGTCCGTAGTGTGTGTGTGTGTGTGTGTGTGTGTGTGTGTGTGTTTCCCAGAGATGGGTTGCATCCGCTGCGTAAAAACCTGCTGGAAAAGTTGGCGGTTCATTCCACTGTGGCGACCCCGGATTAATAAAGGGACTAAGGTGACAAGAAAATGAATGTTGACTGTGGCTTCCCATCCAGCCTGATAGAGATTGAGAGGTACTGCAAAGAGGAATGGGCAAAAAAATCTCAAAGATAGGTGTGCCAAGCTTGTGGCATCATATTCAAAAAGACTTGAGGCTGTAATTGCTGCCAAAGTTTCATCAACAAAGTATTGAGCAAAGGCTGTGAATACTCTCGATTTTTCAGGTTTTTTATTTTGAATAAATTTGCAACAATTTAAAAAATCTTTTTTTACATTGTCATTATGGGGTATTGTGTCTAGATTTTTGAGGAAATAAATAAATTTAACCCATTTTGGAATAAGGCTGTAAAAAGGGAAGCGCTCTGAATACTTTCAAGATGCAGTGTAAGACTGAAGAAAGATTTATATGAATATTTATGTACCATGGAGTATTCTCTGATCTGTTTCTGTTCTCATGGGTGAGCGGGTCCCGAAACCTCTTGAAATCACAGAGTCTCTCCCCAAAAAATCAGCAGTCAGACCAGTGTACAGCTCTCCACCTGAGAAAGCGAGAGAGAATGCATTAGCAGTCAGTACTGGAAGTGCTGAATTTTGTGTCTTACTGTACATGCAGGAAGCCAGACTGCCCCTAAAATGGCCATTAAATTGTTAGCAGCTTGAAATCACACTAACACACGTTTGAATGAGCTGAAAGCTGATATATAGCAGAGTCAACAGCCTTTCAAAGTCTCACACACAGGCTAGTTGATCATCTACATACAGTGCATGAGATCATACAATTTAAGTTTTAAAAAAATACTTCTTTAAAATAGCTGTTGCCAAGAACCTGATAGAAACGTGTGCCAGTATGTGAATCTTCAAGTTCACTAATATGCAGTGTTAAAAATCTGTCCAAAACATGTTGGATCTGGCAAAACGGCACACAATGAGAGCCAAGATTGAGCAGTGTTACACTATACACAGTGGGAGACATGTCTCTGCCCCAGATTACTGTAACACACCCACCATCACACACTCAAACACACACACACACACACACACACACACACACACACACACACACACACACACACACACACACACACACACACACACACACAAACATGAGACCCCCGCAACACTAAACCTGGCTTTACAGCATGTCAGATTTCCCCCATTAGAGCACTCAATCTTTAACGGCCCATAAACTCACTGACAGCTGACAAGCTGAAACCTCCACCCCACAGATACACAAGAGCCAACATACACACACAGGCTCTGGCATACTAATAAACACATAACATAAACATTAAGTGGCATGAACTTTGAAACTACCTGTGAAGGTGCTTGCGAAGGGTAGTTTGGGGTCATGAGGGCATCTCCCCCTCCCGTTCTGCACTGTGGTTTGATCCAAGCTAAACACATGCTGCAAAAGAAACGGCAGATAATTCACATCAATTTCACAACTCAACAATAAACAGAGCTCACAACTGTCAGAATTCATCTTGCTTGTGGAGAAATGCATTATTTACTTTCACAATAATATGCTATTAATGCTTATTTTACGTTTGGGATAATAAAAACCGCAAATACATTTCAATATTTCCAAAGATAGATTTAATATTGTATGAGGTTAATACTTTCTAATCAAATGAGAACCGATTACATACAAAACTTGATTTCATGCTGTAAAAATGTTACAATGCTTCTGCTGGTGATCTTGGAGACTGTAAAAATGTGAACATTTTGAAATTTAAACGATTCCTGGTAATATTTTTTAAGTTCTGGTTTGATCATTGGCAAGAGCAGAGCTTGATTTGAGCTGGATCTTGCCGGATCCTGTTCCAAAAAATGTCAGATATCCGTGTTTTTCTTTACAGTATTTTTGTAATAGATCCGGCATTAACTGTGTTTAAGAGAGAGTGAGAATGTAAATGGGTGCAAGACAAGGCTATGTGGATTGTGTGTGCGCACACACACATGATAGTAGTCACCAGTCACCAAGTAAAAGTACCATTGCTTGCCTAGAAATGTAGTGCAAGTAGAGTGAAAGTACCTGTTGTAAACATTACTCAAAGTATGAGCATTTCAAAAGTACTCAAGAGTAGTGAGTAGTGAGTGTTATACTGTTAAAAGCTGATGCATTTACATCTAATTTGTGGAAGTGTGTAAACGTAACATTCTGTGGTGCATTTAGTAATTGCACAGCAAGCACACAACGTCATAAGACGTTAATACTAGCTTAGATTTAAGCCGTTTCGTCAAGTGACCAAAGTTCAATGTCTAGCCAGCGTCTAAGGACAACGTTATTTTGATGTCCAGTAATGACATTAAATGAGTTTGATATTTGGTTGTTTTTAGGTTGAAGGTTGGACATTGACGTAGTTCTGACAGTGGCTTCTGATCTCAACCTGATTTTCTTTCTCACATAAAATGCGATGTCCCCACAACGTTGAGGCACAGCGTCAATCTGACATCATATTGATGTCTTGTGCCTGCTGGGTATTTAAGGCCATTTTGGTCATCATACAGTAAACATCCTTCATCTTGTCTTAAGTAACATGCATCTAAACAGTCTCTGGGTCAATGCATGTAAAGATTTTGGACATCTTCTTGGACACTTTCTAATGCTTCCAAACATGTCTTGAGGTAGTTCATTATGATGCGATTTACCTTCTATGTGTGATTTGATTGGACAGGAATCCCAGGACTGATTTGTCTAATCCCCATAGACAAGAAAAAATAAAGTAGTGACTGCAGATTGAAGGAAAGTAGGGGAGTAAAAGTATCAATACAGCACTAAAAATGTTCTCATTTTACACATTTTTAATACTTTTTCAGGGAAACTGAAATTGTTTGGTGGAAGACAGTTTTAAGGTTTTAAGAGTTTTTTTATGCATTTTTAGTGAATTATAATTTTAATATTACATTTTGCTGAAGATTTTTAAAAATGATTCAGCTATTTCACATTCACTTGATGGTGGACCTGGTGAACAAACTGTAAACTGATAAAGGTACTGATTAGTAACAACACTTTTGAGAATTTGGTAATTTGTTCAGTATTTAAAACATTTATTAGAGCTTAATTTTGGAGGAAGATTTTTATGATTCAATTACAAAATGAACAACATTTTGCTTTGGAGATGTATTTCTTTGCAGTTACTACTGATCAACTTAATATATTATACTTAATATAGTAACTTATTTTAGTAGCCTTTGAACTGTTAAACAGTAGCAATTTGTTACAGTAAAATTTACCTCAAAAGCACATGACTGAGATTACCCAAGTGCACACAAACACTAACTTAGTCACACAACATTTATCAGTAGCATGACATGATTTTTCCAATAAGTTCCAGAGTTGCATGACAAAACAATAGATCACTGTTTTTCTTGTCACGGACTATTATACAAACAGCTTAACAGCCAAATGAACTGAGGCAATGACTGTGCTTTCATACACTGATATCTTTTTTTTTCCTCTTTGTTAAACTGCATGAACTGTAGGCTTACATGAACACAAACTGGGTAAAAAAAAAATTGTTTAATGATTCTTACTGTTATTAACGAGTCCTCTTAATTATTGTGTAAATGGCTCTGTGTACTGGTATCCTAAGGTAGCGTCATAGTGTCATGATAGCCCTAATTTAAAATGCATTTTCTTTAATGTGTTTACATGTGAATGATGCTATATACTGTACAAGACTAAATGTGGTCTAAAGCATTTAGAGATTTTTCGCTGTCTATCATTTCCAGAAGTAGTGGAAAATGCATTTGATAGAATTGTTAATTATGTAAATGCTTATGTGATCAAATTTGTTCAGTCACAAGAAACACAACTATCCACTCACCTGACATCATTTTGGCACATATTGTGAGAAGGCGCACCAAAACAAGATATACAAACAATATTGTATTGTCCCAAAACGCATTCATTCTGATGAAAATTGTAGTTGTCATACACATACATTTTACTGGCTTGCTTTGCCTCTTTGTCATAAGTCACGTAACAAAGGTTGGTTAACTTCATTTTAATTGTGCGTCGCAGTGAGAGCTCCCCTGAAAGCGATGGAGAGCATGATGAAATAAGAGGAAAGGGTCTTGGCGAAATCTAAGTGCTCACAAGAGACCACTGAAAATGCATTTTGACACCAGGTGGACACAGGGCCAAAGTGTTTTCGTTTTGTATCTTCTCTCATGATCTAATCTTGACCTTTAGGGTCAGCTTGTTAGTGGGTGACCTCTGACCTTAAATAATTTAGTTTCTGAAACACATAAGCAAATTCTTCCTGATGTGCAGACACAAATACACTTGATGTGAAGTAGTTGGGAAGACTGTTTGTGTGTGTGTGTGTGTGTGTGTGTGTGTGTGCGTGTGTGTGTGTGTGTGCGTGTGTGTGTGTGTGTGTGTGTGTATGTGTGTGTGGGTGGGTGGTACTGATGTTCATCACATTGTAGGAATACAAATGTAGCAATAGTACTGTAGGTATTTTTGGCCTTATGGGCACATGAAAATGCCCCACAAACCATCCAGATTTAAGCATGTAATACTGCAGAATGTTTTCTGTGATGTTTGGGTTTCTGGGTAGGGTTGGGGGTGAGGTGACAGAATATACTATCTAGTATAAGATGATTTACACTACCTGGCAAAAGTCTTGTTGCCTATCCAAGTTTTAGGAATAACAAATAATAACTTGAGTCCTACTTGATCATTTGGAATCAAAAGTGGCTTATATGAAAGGCAAAGGCCTACAGATTATGCTTGTTTTACCAAAATAGAATATGATTTTTCAAATAGAATTGATTTTTAATTATTTAATTAGGACAGCAAGATCTGTCGTGTCATTTAATAGACATAGTGTACAGTATAGAATATAAAGTCATGGTGCAGTGGAAAAAAAATGAATATTGTTTATGACTCCAATGAGCTTGGAGGACTGTACAGTATCCATACATCTCTGCAACGTCTCAAATAACTTAATAATAAAGTCATTTGGAATGACAAAGAAAGCGTTCTTGCAGGACTCCCAGTTCATCATGATTCTTTGGATTCATCTTCAGTGCCTCCTCCTTAATCTTACCCAAGACATGCTCAATAATGTTCATGTCTGGTGAATGGGCTGGCCTATCCTGGAGCACGTTGACCTTCTTTGCTTTCAGGAACTTTGATGTGGAGACTGAAGTATAAGAAGGAGCTCTGTCCTGCTGAAGAATTTGCCCTCTCCTGTGGTTTGTAATGTAATGAGCAGCACAAATGTCTTGATACCTAAGGCTGTTGATGTTGCCATCCACTCTGCAGATTTCTCGCACACCCCCATACTGAATGTAACCCCAAACCATGATTTTTCCTTTTCCAAACTTGACTGATTTCAATGAGAATCTTGGGTCCATGCGGGTTCCGATAGGACTTCTGCTGTATTTGTGATGATTGATGCAGTTTAACAGGTGATTCATCAGAAAAAAATCTACTTTCTGTCACTTTGCCAAATGATCAACTAGAAGTCAAGTTATTATTTGATTATTTGCTGCTCTTACACCTGGGATTGACAACAAGACCTTTGTATGATTGTGTAAATGTGTGCATCTATTGAAACACTAAAACCCATCATGTGTGTGTAAGCGTGTGTGTGTTACCTCTCCACGGTGTCCGACGTTCACATACGCACACACGGGTTGGAAAGCTCCAGTTCCACAGGCCAGTAGATGGGTGCGGTTAAATGGCTGCAGCAGACGTACAAAATTTGCACACTCCATCTATACCAAACACACACACACACGCACACAATTTCATATTAACATGTTTTTGCGGCAATGAGTCTACAATTTGCATGACTGCATCACTTACAAGCAATAAAATGCACATATATATGCTGAATAACCAGGTTAAACTCAGGTTAAAGTGCAGACTGGGATCATGAAAGAGTTTAGGATGTGAGACTGATTTGTCCCTAGAGTCTTGCAAGAAGCAGCAACAAAAGAGCAAGGAAATAAGGAGACAATTATGTCTACTTAAAATCAGAGCTTAAAGCATAGGAAAGAAGCTCTTCTGGTCTAATTGCTGAAGGGTTTAGTATGTGGAAGACTTCACATACACGTACAAACACACACTATCAGCATGTACACACTCTAACTACGGCCACCTGTAGGCAGATTCATTGACTTTGTAGGGTCAAATTCAGCAGAGCATAAATGCACGAGAGGTCAGAGGTCATAAAAGATGCAGGCAGATGCTCAAAGTGCCAACAGATGTGAACCAGCAGGACTGAGAGAGTGCACAATGCACCAGTCACTTTGTATGCATAGGGAGCATAACTCAGCCTGAGGTATTTCATTTCTGCAGCTTTGTATCTAAGATTAGGACGAACATGACAAGCATTTTTTTTTTGTGAATTAGCCATTTTTATTCATTGTTATGTTAAATATTATTTTTGAATATACATAACTATATATAGTTTCATTCATTCATTTTCCTTTGGCTTAGTTCAGCGTCACCACAGTGGAATGAACCGGCAACTATATATACATATACTGTGCTTCCCACACATAGACTTTACTTCGATGGGTCGCCCAGGTATATTAACAGCCGCACAAGTATATTTGGTGACATTTATTTATTTATTTATTTTTTGTTTTATTATTATTATCATTCTAATCATTTAATTTATTTTTATTTATTTTTTATCATTCATTCTCAATTCACTGTTTTGTATCTGCCCAATAGCCAAACATCCATGATCGATTAACCATTGGAAAATTTTCTATCGCCCTACACGTTTCCTACTTCTCTTTGTGTGTGCACAAGAACTGTCACTACTCCTAGAGAATCTCACATGCTCTGCAGAGACCCACAGAGACGCACCTTTTTGGAACTTGAAAAAGCGTACGTAAATCTCCTAAAATGTCTGGGATTCAGCTTTTGGTTTCGCTTTCTAAAGTTGTCATTAATTGTATGTGATTTTGCATTACATTTTTAATTTAAGACTGACTTTCGCTTGACTTCACAGCTGACAGCACGTGCACAGCTGCAAGAGCGATAGAAATATTAAATAATTAATTTTTTTAACTAAATGACTAAACTTTTCTATATATTCTCAGAGAGGACAAAATTGCAACTAAACTAGCAGCAAAATATTTGTATACTGCTAGAAATGGTTCATTAACTCATTTGCTTTATTTAAATAATGTATACTTTTTATTCTTGTAATGATTATTATACTTTTTTGGGATACTGTCTCTTTTTATTCCTTTATGTAATTAAATTTTTACTTGCTTTATATTTTTTTCAATTTGATGATGTTGATATATTACAGATTTTATTTATATGTAACATGCTTAAGCAACATTGTACAAAATGTCAGCAGCAGATTTGACCTGTCAGTGGATTTCTTTTTTATTATAATAATCTTTTTAAACATCAACCCAATGAAAAGAAACAGTGTAGAACAGTGTAAAATAAATAAAAAACATTATAAAAAAATATTTTTTTGTCTCATGTTGGTTTCTTTTAGAGAAAGCCTTATTTGTTTTACTTTGGCTAGAATAAAAGCAGTTTTTAACATTTTAAGGTCTAATTACCCTAACCTGCCTAGTTAACCTAATTAATCTAGTTAAGTGTGTCTTGAAAAATATCTAGTCAAATATTATTTACTGTCATCATGGCTGAGATAAAAGAAATCAGTTATTAAAAATGAGTTATTAAAACTATTATCTTTAGAAATGTGTTAAAAAATTTGCTCTCCATTAAACAGAAATTGGGGGAAAAATAAACCAGGGCTTATAATTCTGACTTCAACGGTTCAAGTTTTGATTATTTATTTATTAATTTATTAATTAATTTATTTTTATTTATTTTTAAGAAATGAACACTATTCTCTGGCAAGGACATTTTGCTTTGTTTATTTTGCATTATTTAAGATCTGAAAATATGCATTAATTTGTATTCACCAACTGCAATTTTCAGTAAATAAATACTCTACATCTTAATATTATTATATCTGTACTTTTTTACAGTAGTATTCTTATTTCAGTGAGGAATTTTTCAGTTAATACTTATTTCAGTGGTGGAGATGAGGAGATTCTTCCCAAAAAAAGTGTTAAGTGTTTTTGTAGCAGATGTCATGTGTGTTTAAGATCTTATGCCAGTTCACCTAGGAACTAATTAAGGCGGAGCTAATTTCAGGGGGAACTATAAAAATGATGCACCACTGTGAGTAGAGAGACAAATGCATTCACTTCCAAGCATTCAACAAGCTAAGGAATGCTTATGCTTTTCTTGAGTTTCTCCCTTCCGTAACCAGCCAATGAGGTATGTTTGTTTTATATGATTTGTTGGTTTTGTTTGATTTGAAGTGTGGTGTTGTTGTTGCTGTTTGTTTGGTTTGTGCATTTAACTGTTTGTTTATGAGTGGTGCTATTTATAAAGTTAAATTGTATTAGTTAAGATTATGTGATCCAGTGTTATGTGTGACCTTAATGTGGTGATTTGGATTAATTTGATATGGAAATGCACTGTTGTAATTCATTGTTGTATGTTTTTAGTTCTTACGTCTGGTACACCCCTGATGTCTTGTGGTTTGCTCTATGTTGAGAACTGAAGACTTGCTATGAAAATAAACCAGTCAGTAGAAACCAAAAACTCTTGCTCGTTTGTTGCTGGAGGGAGCTACAGTAAGAACTCAAGGCTCATTGCGAGTATGAAAGAAGAAGCAGGACAATTTAACCAATGAACTCAGTCAAGTGTTCTGTTGTGCAAAGCAACGAAGTGAAATTATACTTGGTTCAGCAATATCAGAAGGAAAGGACATTGCCGGTGTAATATGGAGACGCAAGCATAACTTGAAGAGCAGCACAAGTCAAGACCAGCAGTAAGAGTGGTGCAGTTAAGTGTGATTAAAGGTACCTAACTGTGGTTAATGGCTGCAAAGACTTTAAGTATTGTTTAGTGTTTAATATTGTCATGTTCCTTTCAAAATGTTGGTGGTTTATTATTGTCTTGTATGTAATTTAAGTACTGTTTAACTGCCTGTTTCTATTGCTGTGAAATAAGAGTAAATTTCACTTTCAGTGTTTAATCAGATTAAGGCATGATTTATGGTCTTAACTTTAAATTAAGGAATAAATAAGAAAATTTTAGAAGTGAAAAAGGAGAAATTTAAATAATGTCAGATTTAGGTGAGCGGCCCATGGATGATAGAGTGAATCAGCAACTTGCAACTCAGCCCTCAGTGAGAAGTAAGGTGGCAACGGAAACTTCTGATGCTGTGGAGACTGAGCTACGAAGAGGAAAGAGGACTCGTAAGCTGACTGAAAAGGGTCAGAAGTTGCAAGAAGAGAAGTTGGAAAGGTATGAACAGAGATTCAAGGTCAGTTATGATAAATGGAAATCTCTTGTCAAAGAAGTAAAGTGGTTATTATCTGAGTCTTCTTCAATTGAATCATTACAAGATGTTATGGTAAGAATGACAAAGGCTTCTGCAGTTGTAGGCACTGGGTATGAAGATCTACGCCATTTGAGTATTCCTGACCATGATACACGCCGCCGAGTAGACCATTGTGAAGCAGTCACAAAGAAAATGGAGGTTTTGGTGAAGCATTATTTCGAAGGGAATAAGGAAATGGAGTCTGGATGGAGTGACATTGAGTTATCTGAAGAGGTCAGTGTTGGCACAAGGATTTCTAGAACATCTACATCGTCTCAAAGTAAGTCAAGATCTTCTAAGTTTTCAAGTTTATCTGCTGCCAAAAAACAAGAAGCTGCTGCTGAGGTTGCTGCTAATGAAGCCACTTTAGAAGTCTTAAAGGAACAGGATCGTCAGTTTAAGGAACTTCAGAAGCTTGAAGCTGAAGATAAGAAGCGTATAGCTGAACAAGAAGCTGATGATTTGAAGCGCCGTGAAGAAGAGGCTAAGGTGAAAGCTCAGCATGAGGTGGAAAATGCAGCTAGACGTAAGTTATTAGAAGATAAACGCCGCGAACTGGAACGTTTGGAGACAGTTAAGAAGTTAAATGCAGCTAAAGCACGTATGCAGATATATGAACAGAGTGAAGCTTCAGAAGATGATGAACTTTTGAGTGACTTGTCTCATGACTGTGAATTTAAAGAAATCCATGTGGATAAAAGACACCACAGACCTGATAATTTGTCAACAAAAAATGTCACTTTACAGCCAACAGTGACAACTCCACAAATAGATAATACTTCTCTTGTCAAGGCTTTGACTGAATCTATGAGTGTCAATCGACTTCCTGTGCCAGAACCAATGGTTTTTAATGGGGATCCACTTAAGTTCAATGATTGGAAAACGTCTTTTCAAATGTTAATAGAGAAGAAATCCATTCCTGCAGTGGAGAAGATTTTCTATCTACGGAGGTATGTAGGAGATTCTGTCAAAAAGGCTCTTGAAGGCCATTTTCTTCTTGGAACAGATTCGGCTTATTGTTCAGCTTGGAAGATTTTGGAAGAAAGATATGGAAATCCATTTCTTATAGCCAAATCATTTCGAGAGAAGCTTTATGCTTGGCCAAAGATTGGTCCCAAGGAAAGTTTGGAACTACAAGAGTTTGTAGATTTCCTTCGTAGTTGTGAGGCTGCCATTCCTCAAATTAAAGAACTTGAAGTGGTAAATGATTGTAATGAGAACCAAAAAATTCTTGCTAAGCTGCCTGATTGGTTAACTTCAAGATGGAATAGAGAGGTGATGGAAACTGAAGAAAATACTAAAACATTTCCAAGTTTCAGCCAATTTGTTAAGTTC